TAATTAGGGATCTTCAGCTCACTCTTTCTCTCTCTCTCTTTTACCCCTCACAGGTCCCTCACCAGATGAGCACTCTGACCTTCTACAGGTACGAGCAGCCCATAGTGGACTACTGCCAAGCCCATCAGCCCCTGCGGCTCAACATGAGCTACGAGGGGCCGCCGCAAAGCCTGGAGGGGCTGGAGGAGCTTTCCCCCCGCGAGAGGAGCACCATCCAGACTGTGGCCCTTCCGGCAGTGCCCACCATCAACACGGGTATCACGGGACCCTGCTCCCCACCCAGCCAGAGAGCACCCATGGAGGGGCCCAGCATCCCCTACCCCACCACAGAACGCTCCATTAACTATCCAACAACAGAACGTTCCACCAGCACCCTCACTTTTAGACGCTAACGGCTCCGCTCGCAAAGCAAGGCATGATGGGTAATTTCAAAAGAGGATGTGCCTGGGCGGTGATCCATATTCTGCCGGCATTAACGCAGCGGCATGTCTGAAAACTGTGCGTACTGCTGCGTGCTAACTGTTTCTCGCGAATATAGAGAAGTGAAAAACATTCCCACGACATCGCTGGAGGACACGAGGATCTGGCATATAGTACACTTTCATTGTGGAGTGTAGTGTATCCTGGAAAATGGGATTCCATTCGTCTTTTTCCATCTTTTCTTTGTTCCGACTCAAAGGCCCGTACATGTTTTGTTGTTCCCGTTCTGCTCAATGGCAAATTGAAATCCAATGCAACATGCATGCGACGTTAAACGTGGCTTTGGTTTCATTCAGCCCTCGCTCTGTACCGACGCTACAGGACGCCTTCTCTGAGGAGTAGATAATGGTGATTCTCTCATGCTGAGTGAAGAATGAATAGGAATGTGCAATAAACAAGGTTTTTTTTGACGAGGGAGAGAGTGTGAGAACGAGAGAATGAAAAGAAACAAATTAATGTTCACCAGAGCTCAAAGGCCTCTCGCTGTTATTTTCATTTAGTTGCCAAGGAGCGCTCATAAATGCTGTCATTATTTGATTAAAAAGACAGATCTGTCCAGACATGAGCATCTCGGATGGAAGATCTCTTTAGTATAAAAAAAAGCATTCATTAAAAGCTAAATGAAGTCTCACGGGGCAAGGTCTTTCAGAGTGCACATGTACCAAAGATCAAGCTTCTTTAGATGTACATATAGCTTGTGTTTCTTTTCAAAATGTAATTAGACTAATCAGTATGTGTCTAATGCATACTGTAATGTGCGGGCCGCTGGAGTTTATGACTAATTTTCAATTCTGTAGAATTCAATACTGAAATGCAGAGTGAAAAACATCAAGTTCAGTGTTTGAACGCTACTTGTTGACTAGATAGTGTATGTGTGTGTTTGCTTGTGAGTGTGTATGTTTTTTTTGTTGTTGTTTAAAAGCTGAAGTGTGTAATTTCTGCGCCCAGTGGTGTGAAAAATAATGACTTCAGTGTTTTCGAAAAGGTTTCCCTTATCTGCCATTGGTCAGGCAAACAGAAAGCCACGCCCTTAAACCTACGCCATTGTTGCTATGTTGGCTTGTCGGAGTTTAAACAAACAAACAATGTTTTGATAGTGCCACAGTGTTTACATGTGTCTGCTAAGCCATCCGCTTGTTCATACTTGTTACTGAATACTAGTTGTCTCTGCTTTTCGCTAAAAAGCCAAAAAATTACACACTTCAGCTTCAAGAGGGAAGAATCATAAGAGCGCGAAGCAAACGTCCCTCACTCGCTTAGCATGTTGGAGTTACCATACAGTGGCGGAAATATCTTCATCGCAAGTATGCAACGCATCGCAAGCGCACACACTGTTGTAACACACCTCCAGTGGGAGCGGTATTACGCTGTGTGTGTTAATATTGAGGTGACTAGCTAGACGTGATTGAGGAGTGTGCTAACTAGCTCAGCAATATTTTCTTCAAACTGTTGCTATGCTGTGACAGTAATTGACCTAAACGGGTCACGACGAGGCGTTCCCCATAGCGACCCCTAGAGGATGCAGTTCGAAGTTCCCATGAAAGGGAACTGAGAACGCTGAAAATTCAACGCATACTTGAGTTTCTGTGTGAAATGGAGCTTGGCTAGAAGCGTTTGCATGCTTGTGTAGAACATGTTTCTGACCAAAATGATCCTTCTAACCCATTTTCAAATGGCTTTCCAATGATCTAACAATAACAAAGCATGAATCTCTATCAAGAGCCTCCAGTTGTATCGAAGAGCTGAATAAACCAATATTTTCTTCAGTTGAGTTCAGAAAGAGGTGGTCAGTAACCTCAGGTCATGGAGTGTTAACCAAGATATTTTCTGACTCCAGATGTCACTCAACAAAGTAGATACATGGATGAAATTGCTATAATTGGCTATAACAGCAAGACGTATGGGAGACCCAAGACAATTGTAATAGCAATTTTCCTATATAACTCAGACTACTACAAATCTACATGCCATGTGTTGATGTACGAAATGTATGTGTTCCAGCTGTAATAGTTTCATTACATTGAACTTAATGCAAGTAGTCAGAGTGTTATGGGTTCGATTGTGACAGTGGCAATCATAACACTTACAAAAAAAAATGTTATTAGCCCATTGTATCTCAAATAAGAGTGCACATCAAAATAATAGCATTATTGATTTAATATGTAGTGATGTAATATGTCTATTATTGAATCGTTTTCACAAAGTCTACGTGGAAAAATGCTTTATTTATATATATATATATATATATATATATATATATATATAAGAT